ACAGACGCGTCCCTCAGCTAACAGACGCGTCCCTCAGCTATCAGACGTGTCCCTCAGCTCACAGACATGTCCAGATATGTCCCTCAGCTCACAGATGTGTCCCTCAGCTCACAGATGTGTCCCTCAGCTCACAGATGTGTCCCTCAGCTCACAGATGTGTCCCTCAGCTCACAGATGTGTCCCTCAGCTCACAGATGTGTCCCTCAGCTCACAGACGTGTCCCTCAGCTCACAGACGTGTCCCTCAGCTCACAGACGTGTCCCTCAGCTCACAGACGTGTCCCTCAGTTCACAGACGTGTCCCTCAGCTCACAGACGTGTCCCTCAGCTCACAGACGTGTCTCTCAGTTCACAGACGTGTCCCTCAGCTCACAGATGTGTTCCTCAGCTTACAGACGGTGGGCGGTCGATTCGTCCCAATTCACATTTGTCCCAAGTTGATTCGTCCCACAAGTCGATTCGTCCCACAAGTTAATTCGTCCCAAAGTTGATTCGTCCCAAAGTCGATTCGTCCCACAAGTCGATTCATCAGATTTAAGGTTAGCCCACTACTGACTCGCCTAATAAGCACAAAAAATCCAAACAACTAACTGTTCACGTACACGTCATGCACTGGCATGCGTAATTGTTAATTATGCCATTTTGTTTTTGCCGACGTTATATGCAGTACAAATACACCTTACACGCAACGTGGAGTTATTAGTTAATAAATCCAAATACACCGTACATGCAACGTACAAGTTATTAGTTAATAAATACAAATACACCGTACATGCAACGTACAAGTTATTAGTTAATAAATACAAATACACCGTACACGCAACGTACAATTTATTAGTTAATAAATAAATAAATACAAATACACCGTACATGCAACGTAGAGTTATTAGTTAATAAATCCAAATACACCGTACACGCAACATACAAGTTATTAGTTAATAAATACAAATACACCGTACATGCAACGTACAATATATCAGTTAATAAATCCAAATACACCGTACACGCAACGTACAAGTTATTAGTTAATAAATACAAATATACCGTACATGCAACGTACAATATATTAGTTAATAAATCCAAATACACCGTACACGCAACGTACAAGTTATTAGTTAATAAATACAAATACACCGTACATGCAACGTACAATATATTAGTTAATAAATCCAAATACACCGTACACGCAACGTACAAGTTATTAGTTAATAAATACAAATACACCGTACATGCAACGTACAAGTTATTAGTTTTTTTTATATTTTATAAACTTTTATTGAGTTTTAGTACAATAGTACAACAACTTACATGTAGCACATACATTGTTTCATGGAAAAATTACATCTTAGAAAAGTAACTGTTCATACACTATGTCAGACATTAAAATGTGATTGATACAATTGTGGTCTTATTACTTTGCCAATACTGCAAGGAACTTGCCCCATTTTTTAAGGTGCTGTT